CGTGGCACCCTGGGATTTGTGCTCAAGCTTGCGAACGAGTGGCCCGTTGATGGGAGTGGGCAGAAGACTACAGGTGACCCCGAGCAGGACCCACAGCGACCACGTACCCGTCCATGCCGTATTTCATGTACGTACGAGACTGGCAAGTGGACGGGGACCGCGCCCATTCAGGTGGGACAAAGATGCACTGGCGAAGGCGGTCACCCACAAGATCGGACGACGGGACTTTGTGCAGGAGCTCAACCACCCTATCGCGACATCCACGCTGGAGGCATACGACACGGACGTAGACGAGTATTCCGCCAAGCTGAACGATATGATGCGGGAGGTAGCGCAAAAGCACTTTGCTGACCGTGGAGTGCGAGACTCAGTATATGCCGCACTACTTGAGGACCGCATGGAGTTACTGACGCAACGACGAGACCTTCGTGAGGAATTGCATGACACAGTGCGTGATCCACAACTTTCAGATTATCAAGCAGCAACAAGAGCTCTGGAGATCGAGGCGAGATTGAAACACCTCACCCTGCAGGGCGCCATTCATAGAAGAGCGCTGCAAAGAGCCACCACAGAACATCGAGTGGAAGAACTATGGCAAGCCTGGGGGCAGCGGGACCTAGCATCAGTGGGGCGATTATCCAGACTTATAGCAGGAGGCAGACACGGACCACGAACACGAGACTTCTGGACGGTTACTACCTCTCAACCGACTACGCAGGAGTGGACCTCATGTTGGAGCAAACCTGGTGGTGAAGGGGGGGGGGTGCTTGGGGAGAAGATCGCCCCCGCGGGTGTCACCAACCTGGGGTGCTTCTGCGAGCTCAAGACCGAGGAGGGGGTACTGGGACACAACCCGCACGAACTGGAATACTTATCACGGAGATTCCAGAAGGCCAAACTCAGAACAGCAGTACCTGCCACATCAGCCCCGAATGAAATGTGGAGAATGGTGCTGACGGACCCAGCAGGCAAGCCGCAACCGCACGGACTTGGATACGACGCCAACATCGAGCAGCCACATGAGTTTCGCGAGGCTTTATTGCGCGGCCTGGTACAAGTTAGAGTACAAGACAGAGCGCCCGTGCATTGGCATAGCAGTGCGGCGACAATGGTAAAGAAGAATGGGAAGCCAGGGCCAGCTGGGAAGTGCGTATATCACATGCTCGACCCACTCGGGAGAGCTTTCTACGCAGCAGGGCTGGCCAGAGCTAAAGGACGTGCGTTCACCGATGGCGACAACGGACTTGTTCGAGGACGCAGACGAGAGGGCGCCATATTGACAGCGGCTATTGTTGAATACAGAGCCAGACAGAGTGGACGTAGCTTCGTGACATCAATGAAAGATATGAGCAATGCCTTTGCCAGCTGTTCATGGCTGAGAATGGGCGCGGCGAATTCCAAGACACTTCCCCAGCAGATGTGGACTCTCGGGGAACAAAGGTACAGGCGAGCCAGTTTCAGAGTCCCATGTCGAGACGACGCCGAAGGAAGTATGATACACCCGAGATGTGGAGGATTGATCGGAGACCCCTACATGGTCCAGAATGTTGTAGCGACTTTTACTCCAGGAGTGAGACTGGATTGCAGATTGCCAGCAGCGTCTCACCTACGAGCACTTGCTGTGGGGACAGCTCCCGTTGTTCAAGGAGCCCATCTACGTCGGAGCCACCAAGTACGCCGACGACCTCCGCAAACTGCTGCTCGGACCATACGTGCCCGACCCACAGTTCCTAGCCCGGGAAGCACGCATTGCAGACGATCTACTCGACGCGCGGCTGCGCCAGATTGGTCTCCAGTAAAACCGAGGAACACAGGAAAGCACAGTGCGCTTCGGGCGATCTGGGGCGACCAGAGCACATCGTGAAATCAAGACGCAAGGGGTCCCAGGGGAGCTCCTTCCAGCCGCCAGATACCTTGGGCCGTTCGTGGGCCCCAAACAGAGCTATTCTACGGAACTAAAGAAACGCCTGAATGCCATGCACAAGTCGTATAGCGAGTTGGGATCTTTCTGGTGTCGAGTTGGCATACCGCACAAGTGGGAAAGAGCGATGTTATTATGCCGAGAACTGAACACGGGCCTGAGCTGCGTTGAATCCTTTCTCCCTACCAGAGCGGAATACGAACATATGCATCGAGCTATGGGGCACCTCCTGAGGAGGGCGACGAGGGGGGAGGCCACGACGGTGACAGAAGAGGGTAAACGCACGAGCTTGATTACAGCGGGAGTGTTCAAGTATTGGAAGGTCGCCCACCCCGAGCACGAGGCTAAGGTGCGACGGCTAGCGTGGGCCAAATCTGTCCCTAGTAAACCACAGCACAACAAGCAGCTCCTGGTGGCAACGTTCGGGTCCCTGGACTTCGAGACCCACTTTGGAGATCTAGAGGACTTCTCGGAGAACAGCAACCCCTGGGCCCAGAGGTTCGCGCAGGACTTTAGGGGCGCGATGGAGGTCGCGGAGAGCTTTCAGGAGGTCTTCCAGGCCCGGGAGATCACCCCCCAGGTCTTGTTCTCGAGAGAGCACCAGACACAGATACCCCGACTCGATGTTCAAGATATCCGTCAAACCCGTCTCAGCTGCCGAATCTCACCAGGAGGGGGACGTAGCCAAGGGGGCGAGATGCTGGAGGAGGAGGCTTTTTAACAGGAGCGAAAGGATGGATATGTGAGATTTTGACAGACTGGCAGGTTTGCGGAGCAGGATTCACGAGTCGCAAGGCCCTCAGGGGCCGCATCATCAAACACCACCATATACACAACCTGGCGGCGATCCTAACGACGAACAATCAATGTATACATTGCCGCCAGACATTCAAGTGCCGAAACACAGCCTGGCGCCATTTGTTCCGTTCGATGACCAGAGGTTTTTGTAGAGAGACAGAACGCGTGACCAGTTCGAGCCGACTGCTTTGGCTTCGACGTGTCCGAGCTGCAGCCATTTCGATCGAGAGGGGGGCCGTTTTTGCCAACACCTGCCCACGCATCTACACCGCCCCCCCCCCCCCCCCCCACCACCGCCACCGCCGCCGCGCCAACCCAGCCCCGCGCCCCACCCCGCCCACCCCGCCCACCCACCACACACAGACACACACACAGACACACACACACACGCACACACACACACGCAGACACACACACAGACACACACACACACGCACACACACACACACGCACACACACACGCACGCACACACGCGTGCACACGCACACACACGTCGCAAGAAAAGTGTGAACATCCCTCGTTGAAATTGAACGCAAGTTTTAGCCGCGACCTGGCGGGGCCCCCGACCCCCGCCCGACCCCCCAATTTCAATGTCCACGCCGACGCCGGTGGCTTCGAGATTTTCTTCGGACCCCGCCGGCCGCGATGCGCCCGTCGATGAACATTCGACACGGCGCCAACATGGGCAGGGTCGAAGCGGGGGGCCGAGGCCCAGCCGAAGGGACGGGACAACAAGAAGGGCCGCCAGGACGACGAGAGCAGGAGCCGCTTGCTGCAGTTGACGGCGAAGCTCGTCCTGACCGTGGCCCGCGAGACCGCCGAGCTGACGTCGGCCGTGGTCGAGACGTGGGAGGTGGGCGCGGACTCGCCGCTGGCCGCAGTCGGCCTGCAGGCAGGGGCGGACTACAACGCGGACGCGCAGGCCCTCAAGGTGAAGGCCGAGACCGACGACAGCGTGGACCTCGGCTCCCTGGGACCGCCGCACCTCGTCGTCTGGAGCAAGGTGATGCAGAAGGTAGGCCAGGACACAGCGGGAGAAACGCAGAAGGCGCTGGAACAGTATTACAAAGAAGTGGTGATGCAGCCAGGCATCGAGAAGCTCGGCTCCAGCGTCACGATCTTCAGGGTCAAGAAGAACAAGTGCAAAACCGCGCAAGGGAAGGAACGAGCTCGAGTTCAGTTCACGATTCGTCCAGAGTGCGTGCAGATCAGGAACATCCTCGCGGCGGCGTTGCTGGCGCAGGGGGTCAAGAGGAAGTACGGGGCAGCGCCGAGGGGAGCTCTCGAGAGGGACATAGGACGCATGCTGGAGTGAGGGAAGGATCAGCGGTGAGAGGAGTAGGAGTTTTGACAGGCAGATCAGCTCTCCCCTTCCTCAGCCCCCCAGCTTTTGAAACCAGCGCTAGATTCCGAGAGCTGGCGCCCTCTGGTAGGCTCCCGTTTCCCAGACCTCTTCTGAACGCTGCTCCCGAGCTGTATTTTTTCGAGCCCTCTCCCGCATCAGTTCTTAATTCGCCGTCCCCCCGAGCCGAGGCCCGAAGGGAAGGGGGGCGGACGGGGGGTGGATAAGGGCAAAGGCCGGGGGAGAAGGACAGGTGGCCGTAAGACAGTCTGAACAGATGCCACACCGCCTAGTGCCCTCTGCGTGGGGGGCGAAGTGCGGTCCGGCCCGTTCGTTTTGTGGCGACTGCAGGCCCTCTGGCGGCCATGGCGAAGTGACGGATTGCACCGC